CGTCAAAACGTGAAAAAAATAACTCCAATTCAATTAAATTAGTAGTTATACCTGTTGATCCCATTGTGGCATTTCCTCAGGGTCATCCTCGAAATGTATGACAGCTTCAACCTGGCAAAGTGGCAAAGAATTTTTACGTATGTAGAATGCATACACAGAATTGCTAATATATATTTTAAACTTGAATGCAATAACATCAGTAAATAAATTGAACCAAAACTGATAGCAATAAATAACAGAATATAAATACAAACAGACTCACCCAAGGGACGAGGGGACACATTTCAAAAATGGTATATAAATTGACAGGTTCACAAAGGGAAAAGGAGAAACGTTTAAAACTCAAATACTCTCACGTTAGTTAAAGGTTTCTACCTGATCAATGGATCCCCTCATTCTATCTTCACAGATCATTCTTGAAGCTATTTTCTCAGCCTGCAGAAAGTTGAAGTGTTAGTGATAAGTGGTACATATGACTCGTGGAATTGCAGGCGCCACTGACCAATGGATGTAACTCGTTCATAAAAGTAATATAGAATCACAAAAGTAAAATATACTAGAAACTACAAACTGAAAGACCCGATCTCTGTAGTTACTAAATTTTCTGATGCGGCAAATTGCACTCAGTTTTGCTTCATAATGTACATATTCATCTAGAATCAACTAACATGCTTTCTTGTCTAACTTTTAAGCTCCAAAGGTGCGAGATATGCCTGGAAGTGATGGTTGAGTGCAGGTAAAGGTAAACAAGATTCACTCCAGTTATGTAACTAAAAAGTCTAAGTGTAACATTCGACAAGATTTAGAGAAATATCGGATGCTGTCATGAGTATTCTCAAGCGGAGTTTATAACTACTGATACAAAATTAAAAAATTTATGCCATCAGTCACTCAAAACCAGTTTATTCCTTTCTGGGGAAAATTTAGCAAAGTAATACCACAGACAATGAGCAGTTGTACGAGAAATAGAGCGAAATGAGACAAAATCATCCAGCTAGTCTAGGGTCAAGCGGGGTAACAGATAACATAATCACTTTAAATTTTTGTTACAAACTAAGCTTTCGTTGGTAAGTATGAAGAAAACAAATTTAAAATTTTCTAGCCGTGAAAATATAGGAGGAAATAGTTTCATTTCTTTATATCTTTAGACATATTTGGACCATGTAGTAGCACTATTTTTTGGTTGAAGATAGAACAGAACCTTTAGAGGAGCGATACCAAGCAATGTGCCCAACTCTTCAAAACTGCACAAGAGAATTAAAGTTAAATACATTATACAGACTAGAACAGCACAATGTTAACGAAATATATTCAATCTTAAAGCGTTAAAAATAAACCAAATGGGGAAAAAATCCCACCCACCTAATATTGGTGTAAAGTTTGCTAGCACTCAGGAGATTGTGCTCAATCATAGCACGATCAAGAACGGTGAAATTGTCAGGCAAAAGTGCTTTCTGTAAACAGCATTTTGTAATCAAATATAAAGATTACCAACAAAAGGACTGCAACCAAAAACTTGGAAAATGAGATTTTGTAAAACATTTGCACTGCCAACCTGATGTGGCTTCAATTCTTCAGCAAACGCATCAATTTCCGGTTTTCTCAAAATTCTCTCTAAATAAACCTGCGAATTCCCCATGCCAGGACTAAAATGATGAGCAGACTTAACAGGGAAATACCATGTTTGTTTCAGTGTGTGTGTCTACATTGCCTACATATAGCATGGGTGAAAGTGTGCAGTAGAAGCAATGGTTGACTGGGTCTGTAGTTGGTACAATCAAAAGTTAACAGATTACCTTCTGCAAGATTGGGTAGATCTTTAGCTTAGAGCAGCGTTCATCCTGGTGACAAGATGGAAAAGGAAGGATTAACATTTCAACATAATGCAGAAAAAACCTAATTTAGCTTCAAATCAGTAAGTCATGAAAACTCTATCTGAGAATTCCATGCAAAATAATGCAACTCCTTTTAGCTAGATAAGTATACGCGCATAATCAGTCCAATTAAAGAAAATATTCTAGTAAAATATCTGTTAATGGATCTTGGAATGATTAAAGGTACATTCTAATACTATAGTGATTGTCTCAAGAGGTATGGTTCCTAAAATAAGTGAGGCCCCCTTAACTTTACGGAATACATTTTCAATAATAACATTCAATTATATGCTGCATAATTTGTCCAGAAATCAATGTAAAACTCCCATGACTTTACTGCCTGAAATTAAGGTAACTAATTCACAGCAGAGTAATTGCCTTGGCATCATACAGATTACAGAGCCAACACATCTATGTGATAAAATAGACTGAATGAACCGAGTATTTATTTTGAGAACGACAGGGCCTCAATATCATGAAGAAGTAAACATCATATTTATTTCTCTTAGCGATACCAAAAAAACAAAAGGAGAAGGAAAAGGAAGAGAATGAACAAATGGAGTTGTGCAGCAGAGTAAACTCCATAGGTATCTTTCAAGAATTATAATTTGATGCAGCAAGGAGCTTCTAGATAAGGTTGGATTATTTTTAGCAATAAATTGAATGTTTACTGCATATCAGCAAATAGAAATACATACTAAACAAAAGGTAAGCATGTCCTAGTACCTTGTATAGGGTGGCAAGAACACGGGAACGTCGAGGACCTGCAGCAGCCAAGATTGTACAAGTCACGGCGGCAGTTAGCGCTTGCTCCAGTGCTTCTTCATCGATTTCTCTATGATAGACAAGATTCATAAACCCACATAACAGCAATGTCACAAAACTCTCTTGAGTGGTTGAAATTAGAAGAGATAAAACTTCAAAGGGACAGAGAGAAAGACACGCAAACTCACAACCATGTCAACATAAGACTGCTATGACATCCATTTTAAATGATTTTAAATCAGAGATTGTTCTAGATAAATCAGTGGGAAAACTTGAGTATATGGTGCATGCAATCTTTATTTATCTTTGAGAACAATCAGAGGTATAGCACATAAAGAGTATCCATGTTCTGAAAAAAAAATCATTAATATATTATTGTCAATCACAACTATCTAAATACATACTCATCTCCAATTTGACGCTTCTCAATTTGGGAAATATCATAATACCGAAGAGCAGCTTCCAAGAACTTCCTCTTCAAATCTAGTATCCTAGCATAGCAAACCTGGGAAAATAATTAAATATAAGAATATATTAGCAGAATGTTGACACATCAAACTACCAATATAACACTGCCAAAGACCAACCTTGTATTGCAAATTCAACACCTCGTGCTGGCTGTTACTAACCAAAAAGGAAGCTTTATTTATAAAAGCCTCTGCATTAACAGCATCATCATCCTGTATAAGAAGGATGTGAGTCCAGTTAAATCACCACTGATGTCTTCATTCAGGTTTGAAATCGTAAATATAAGATAAATGCAGATGCGTGAATGCTTGAACTCAAACTGCATTACCAATCTCATTGAGACATCATTATAATTTATACATCAGGTGTATAAGTAAATGTAATTGCCAAAAACCTTATTTGATTGGAACAAACAAGATCATGAGCTATGTAAAATATGAAAGATTGGAATAAGGGTGCAAATTTGTAGTATATAAAGCATCTCCTACATTTTAAGAAGGGATACCTATAGTACACTGCCTAGATGAAAGAAAAGGCGCATAATTACACAAGTAGATTCAGTATTATGGAAATCTGAGGATTTGAAATGAAATTCAGATATCCTTACTTTGGCTCTTTCAAAATAGTACATGGACCGACACTATAAATCTGAAACAAACTCTTGATTCAGGAATAGTAACCCAGATTAGCCATGCAGTAAACCACAGATTCAATACAGAATGTGTCAACACAAGAGGGTACTTAAATATCAAGTTAAAGAAAGAGTATATGAAGCTAGTTCAAGACCTACCTCGAGGTAAAGGCGAGCAATTTGGACACATTTGGACAGCCTGAAGGTATCATCAATCACTCTGCACAAATACAAATAAAAGAGTATAAATGTCTGCAACGAAATATGCTTTAATAAAAGAGCACAAATGCCTGCTGGAGGACCTCATTCCAGAATCCAGATCAATGCCGCTAAGCATCTGTGCCGCTCTTGACCATTGTTGTTCAGATTCATATAACTCCGCGAGTTTTTCTCTGACAATCAACACCTGCATTATTGCACATCGATAAATATTTTGCACTACACTGAGAAATTACATTGCAAAATAGAGCTGGGCAATGATAGCAGAAATTAAAAATGATATTCAACCACAATGATTTACTTAAAAGTATGATTATTTTTAACTGCTATTGAATATTAAAAAATTCAATGCCACAGTCTGAAAGTTAAAAGACCTCAATGTATTGATATACACACTTATACTAGCAAAATTCAATTACCCGATAAACTTCTTACCAAATATCAGGATCATATTAAAAAGAAGAACCAAAATAATTACAAGGTGATTCTCCAGCAGCATCTTACGGATATAGTTAGCGGTTAGTGACTCAGTGGTACCAAGATAACTAGATATTAAATACTTTGACTGGAATATGCATGCAAGCATCTGGAAACTTAAAGGAATAATAAGATACAGTGACAATATAATCAAGTACATTCACTGTTAAACCTGGAATTCATATGTTTGTTCATTACATTCAACCAAACCCAAAAGCATCTATCGAGTTCCAATGAAAATACTCAATTATTTCGAGACAGAAGGGCTCTAAGTTGGTCGTCAAGTCTCCTACCTCTTTAACCAAATCTACTAACAGAAATTTAACAGAGGAACACATGGAGGAGAAAGGATTCCAACATTTAATCTAGTTAGTAGTCAGTACTAGTCACAGTAGAACCCTCATATGGATTTGTTCTTTTCCACCCTTCAATTGCTTGGATTGGTAGCACTCACAATTTAAAACGTGTTATTTCCACAACGGAAAAGTTGAAACGTTTGCAAGATAAATGGTTCAGATTATTTACGTTAAAGTCAACTAACAAAATCAGTCTCACATATGCATAAAAATGCTAACAAGTACATACTCCTTCCTGGATTTTTTTCTCAATAAGCATAAATCGGTACTATTATACTTCTATCACATACTCTTCATATGCATAAACAAATATTACACTGAATAACCAAACTAAAAATTAAGGAATTAACTCTTGAAATTAGCCGAATATTGGCAACTAAATATTAAAAATCTTGTAGCACACCTATCCAAACATTCTGGACTGCTATCAAAACTTGAGCTCATTACCAGTGCTGCAATATACACAACTCCTATAACCGTTAACCTAACTACCTAATACTCTACGGATAAGTATTTAACAGAATGGCTCGGGTATTGTAGCTATTTACTAAATCGAGAAGCCCACAGGATAGCCAATTGCAATGCCTGATACCACTTAACAAACCTTGAACTCACAACCATCACAATAGGCAAACTCGAATAACCTAAATATGTAATATTACAGAAACCCTAATTCTACTCAAGAAAGCCAATAGAGAAAAAAAAAACAGAAACTAATTGAAAATAAACCTGTTCTTCAAAAGAAACAACACGAGGTTGGATCTGATTGAGGGTATAATGGGCAATTTCCTTCTGAAACTCCGGCTCCAACTTCCCCAACTCCTGGGCAAACGTCTGCAGAAGCTGCCTCGACACCACAAGCGGCACGTCGTCCGATAGCACTGAAAAATACACATAAATCCGCCACAAATCGTTAAAAAAAAAAAACGTGAATTAACACCGTCAAAAAAAAAAAAAAAAAGAGGAGCGAGAAAGCGTAACTGTGGTCGATGAATTGTTTGGCTTGAATAACATCGTCGGAGGAGAGAACGGTGGCGAGAATGTGCTTGTACTGCTCGATCTTCTGCCGTTGGTCGCTAATCGCCGACGCGCTCGCAAAGGCGGTCTCCATCGCTGTTCCTAGAGAGAGAGAGTTCTCTTACTTTGGTTTTTCTTTTGGGGGAACTTTTTAAACAATTTTTTTATTCAATTTGTTCAGAAAAAATAAAAAAGGTGAGAGACCCTGCGTAAATAGGTTTTATAGTTGGACCTGAGTCTTATAATAATCTTTATATATAAAAGAAAGGCCTAATCCCATTTTTGTGAATATTTGTAACCCTAGGGGTAAATTTGTAATAACGAAAACTGACTTCCTAATTTCTCTTCCGTGTTTACTGAATAATAGCATCCGTAAAACTGCCCCACTGCTTTCTAACTGCAAATCTTGTTACGTTAAGCCGTTAAGGAGGTTCTCTCTCAACTTCTCAACTAAGGGTATTTTAGTATTTAAGTAGATTCCTATAAGAAATTAAAACTAATTTTTAAATTATCGGAAATGAAGAAGAAAAAAATTTGTATTAAGTTTTGTAAATTGGCATAACAGTTTTGTAATCTTTAAAATCCTTTTTTTTTTCGATTCATTAATCTATGTCATACATTTATTTATTTCAAATTTATTTTTGTTTTACTCAAAACTTTATAAAATACCATATTTCGATACAAATACACCATACTCGAATATCAACATTTTCGTTTACTATAGTTTTAATTTTACTAATATATTTTAATATACCGTGTAATACAACTATTTTTAGATTTTTCATTATAATATATTTTACAATGAAATTATTTTTATGTTTTATGTATTCGACCGTGCAACGCATGGGCCAAAATACTAGTTTCTGATAAATATGAAACAAAATTTATTAAATTACAAGTTGCCCCTCAAATATTTCAACGTCTTATAATTCCGCCCCACTATGTTAACACTAAATTAGGGATGCAAGTTCGAATGAAAATATGAAGTTCCGTCTATTCCAATCTGAAAAGTTTCGATTTTAGAACAACTTTTTTTCATTTTGATTTTTGACTTTTTTCAATTCTTTTGGGTTGAAATTGAATTATATCAAAAAAAATTGAAATTTTCAATTTCCGAAATTAATTCCATTTCGATTTTCTCCGAAAGATACACATATAAGTAGTATATAATGTTATTTATTTTACACAACAAAATAAACTAAGCATCTGATAATATTTATACTTTATAGGTCATGTCACAAACTTTTTCTATGCTATTAGTCACCTACAGAATCCTAGGGTGCATTTGGATGGAGGGATTTGGGGGAGGGATTTCAAATCCATAATAACAAATCCCTCGGATTTGTTTGGATTGAGGGATTTGGAGATGGATTTCAAATCCTCACCCCTCCTTTTTAGTTGATTTTGGAGCAATAGTGATGGATTTCAAATGACTCCAAAATTGGAGTCATTTCAAATCCATTCCCCAAATCAAATCCCTCTCCAAATCCCTCCATCCATATGAACCCCTAGTTTCTTTTACATTTGTTGGTTTTGTGCAAAAAGTCATAGTTTCAGCCACAAGTCAAAATCACAACCGGTAGTTTCAGAAAATTTTCTTTAAATTTTGAAATTTTAAAACTTATGAGATTTCTGAGTTTTTTTTTTCGAAATTCCAATTTTTTCGAGCCTTTGGAATTGGAATGTTCATCCTTATAGTGTTAAATTCAACATAATTTTTTAGATTCTGAGAAATATTCTCTAGTTTGTACTCGTTTTGTGCAAAAGTGCAGTTTTTTTTGCAACACAATCTGATATTTACAAGCCAAGAGACAGACACATATATTATGATCAACTTGTTTCAAAATGTGGAGTTCGAATTCGGTAAAAATAGATACAAACTGGAAAATATTCTACATAATCTACAAGATTCCACTATTTTTGACACCACACGGGTGGACGTGTAAAAAGATTCATAGTCATGAGTAATTGTAATTACCCAAACATGAGGGATTTTTCATAAATTGACATTGCCTCAAGGGGGTGACTGTATTTACCCTATTTTTTTTTACTGTAAATTACACATGCACCCTTGATGTATGTTAAAATAATTTTTAAGGTCTCTGTAGTATTGATAAATACCATCCATCTCTGAAACATCGTTAGAAATCATAACGGAATAATGCATTGAATAAGTTATTTCTTTAAGGTTCTAACGGAATATTAGTTTCAGACAGTAGTAGAAAACATAGAACTAGAGAGTGACATAACTCTCGTAGCATTTCTTAAATTCTTATTATTTTATATATGATTTATAAATTTCCGTCTATGGTAGCATTAACGGCCCCGAGAGAAACAAATATAGTGCATATCGGTCCCCAAGAAATGAAATTTTGGCTCCAGTAATTGTTTCAGGGGTGTTGCTGTAATTACCAATATCACAATGACCTTAAAATTATTTTAGCATACATCATGGTGTATGTCTAATTTACCCCTTTTATCGATTGTTTCAGTTGAGACTTGAGAGGTGTAATGTTGCAAACAAGAAGGGGGGTGTTTGTAATTTAGTAATACTTTAGGAAACTATTTGTAATTTATGATTATTAGTTTAGGAAAGTTTTATTAAATTACAAGCTGTCCAAGAACGAGTGAAACAACAACAGCACGACAAAGACGCTGTTCAATCTTCCGTCTTCGCATCTGCATTTCATCAAATTTATACTGTGATCAAACAAAAAAGAAAGTTTCAGATTTACAGCAGCGATGAACTGGGTTCAACGCAAAATTTATCTCTACAATGTTACGTTCGGGCTCTACATGCTTGATTGGTGGGAGCGTTATCTCTTCAGTATCCTTTCTCTCTCTAATCGTATTCATATTTGTTTTTTTCAATTCGCGATTTGATGGGTAATAATTGGGTGTTTTATATTTTTTTATAATTATAATTGTGCTGCGATTCAATGTTTGCGGGCCTTAATTTTGTAAATAGATACACTGGTTATTGTGTTGATGTGGTTTATCTTCTACAACAGTTCGCGATATGTAGCTGATTTCTGCAAAAGGTAACCCTAAGATTTTCCCCCCCCCTTTTTTTTTTTATTTATTTATCTGGGCTGCTAGTTTGATTTATTTTTTATAGTCATGTTGAATTAAATGCAAATCCAAGATGCGTTTGTCTAATCACTCATTTTGTTACAATTGAATTTTACGAAAGTATAGACCGATTTTAGATCGATTGGATTTGACAGAGAACTCTATCCATGGAAATGTTTTGGAAACTACGGAATTAAAGATGCATTGCTACGAATTGACGAATTATACGCAGAGTATTTCACATCGCTAGTTTCCGTAGTTTGCGTTTATAGCAATCGTGATAAGTATCGATATAGAAGCTACTGTAATATCATCGGTCTTTGTCTCCGTTGGTTTTATTCTTCTAGAAACAGCTAAAAAGCGTTTAAAGGAACCAACAAAATGACGGGTTTGTATTCAGTTGAACGATTATCAAATCTTAGAGCAACACTATTAGGTCTCGTTTGGTTGCCAAGATAAGATTACCTAAGATAAAATTAAATAATCTAATAAAGCCCAATTATATTATTGGACCTTCGATGATCCAATAAAAAACACGCCTAGAAGATAAGATAAGCCATGATAACATAATATACGTGGGTGGACCCAGCAAGTTATTGGGGAACCAAACATCAAACAAAGTCCTGTTATTTAGTTAATCATGCTAATCTTCCTAACCAAACAAGATGATATCAGACTAGAGAATAATATAATGCTGTAATATAAAAAACTCGTGTTTTTCCTATCTGGCATCAATAGTGAGGATTCGGGAGATTCGTGGTGAATTTTATTATTGTCTGGTCAATGATGATGCGTTTCGAATTCGAATTCTAAACATGCGTAAAAATAGGTTTGGTACTGTAAGTATTATATAGTTTCAAAATTACATGCTCTTTTTATTTTCCTTCCCCTGTTTTATTGTGACTTCTCTGAATTCATATCTGCATGGAAACTCGTTTGGATTTGTCAATCGGAATTTGTTTTTCAAATACTCGAAAAGTAAGAACCTCCCGTTTTCCCCGTTGAATAGGCTGCTCAATTCTCATCATTGTTTCGGTAATCTTTTTCCTTCTTCAATTCTTCGGGATGTACAAGACGACTGCTCGATTAAGAAAATGCATATTAATTATGGCGTGTTTCTCTATTACCTTGTCGCTATATTGATCCTCACTGTATTTCTTATTCCGTTTGTTTGCTTCTCTGTTTCTTTTTCTTCATATTTTGTTTTCAGGCATCTCCATTGAAAACGTGCTTCGGTTTTGAATTCCACCATGGCACTGTCGCGTGGAGGAAGGGCTGAGGAGTAAATGTAGTCCATGTCGTGGTTTAACAGCAGTTTACGAAATTGTATCGTGATTTTTTTCTCCCTTTTTTTCTCTTTCTAGAACTTAAAAGCCGACCATCTTATGCTAAGGTGTGATTATCGTTCGTTAAAGAACAAATTGTAGTCTCTATATAAACTTATTTATATTTGAAGAGTTTGTTCATATGATTTGGATATTGAATTTGTATTTGTATCGGGCAGTTGGAGGCAACACTATATCGATTATCGACACACTAATCTATCGAAAACCGTCAAAACTATCCCTATTGTATCGACACACTTACTGTATCGGGCAGTTATGATCTATTTCCGACAATGCGGTTGCGATATGATTAGAGTAATGTGTGATTCAACGCAGCGGTGCTACGAGCACATAGCGAACTAAGAAAGTCATGCAGCGGTGCAACGAGCACATAGCGAACTATTCTTTCGCCTTTTACTAAAGAATACCGTGTATTCGTTGCAATTCAAGCGGCGTACGACTTTTTGTAGGGTGTCTTCTCTTATAGAGAGGCCCCATCCAATTCTAGTTTTAATGTTTTGGTTCTGTTTTTTAAAGTAGGTTTTATGATTTCTAAAGAGCTAATTATATCATAATTTTATTTATTTATTTATTTATTAATTTGAACTAGTTTTACTTAATTTGTATATTTACAGTTACAGCACATTCACAAAAGAAATATGAGTTATCCCCCATTTTAAAACATAAATAATTATTTCTAGTTTTACGATCTTAATGTGAAAATAAAACAACTAAGAATTATTTATAGACAATAGTTTAGTTTAAAAATAAAATAAGTAATAAATCACCTGTTGAAGCACACTCAGGCTATGTTTGACAGAATTAAGCATTAAACACTAAATGTTGAATATAGGGGTGAATTCGGTACGGTTGCCAAACATTTGGCTCAATACCGTGTACCTACCGTACATTGCGGTATTGAAAAATTTCATACCGTTACCGTACCAAAAAGTTCGGTATACCAATGTTCGGTATACCGTTATTTTCGGTACGGTACAATCGGTACGTGGTACTCTACCGTATTTGGTGATGTATCAGAGATTAAAAAACAAATGAGTTAAAAATATACATATATATCCCAATTGAAAATAGTTCTAGTTACTCTTGTATGAGTTGTATTTTATTTTCGAAGAATGTCCGGTGTATAATCGGAATAATTAACATAATTTGCTTCATTGAAACAAGAACATATGCCATAATAATGTAAATGTTGTTTAATGGAACAACTAGCTATTTGTTAGGAACTTGATTGTACTTAATAATTATTACATACAATAAATACTTTACCAATGCTATACATACATGTAGGTAGAAAAATAAAATATTCATACATCATATATAATAAAATTAGTTGGCTATAGGGAACATAAAAGACAATTTAGTAGAACATATATGTTCAATTGCAAAATTCAACTTGGTAGAAAAAAAAAAACAATACACTACAACTAACTTAAGGGAAAAATAATTGTTGCCATTTATAAGATTCTAAGTAAACAAAATAGAATTATAAAAAATAATATCGAAAAAAACATATTAATCAGATTAAAATGTAAATTGCGGTACGGTACGGTACTACCGTGGTATTAGAAATACAATACCAATACCGTACCATATTGTAATGGTACGGTACTAATACCGTACCGTAGATAATGGTAACCGTTCTTTCGGTAATTTTTCGGTAATCCTTGGTTGGTATACCATGGTATATGGTAATCGGTATTTTTTTTCCAGCCCTAGTTGAATATATGGCTGAACGGTTAAGACCAGTGTCTGAATGTTGAATGCTGAATGTTTAAGTTTGCTTGATAACTAAAAATATATTATATCTGAACAATATTGTTTTGCTATATTAGCCTTCATAATTATCGAACACAATTTTATTTACCAACAAAATTATTGATAGTATCTAAATAAAAAAAATGTAACTATGGCTCTTGTAATTGTTATATTATTATATTTATTTCAACAAAAATAAATGTGTAAATATAAACTATATTGATCTGAAAAATATATGAGTAAAATTCGCGTTTCAATTTCACTAAAATACATAGAGATAAAAGAAAAAAAGGTGAGAAATTAAATTCCATGATACCATAGTGGAAAAAGAAATATGTGTGAACTTGTATATTTTTTAATATATAAGTTTATTTACTAATTTAATTCTAAAAAATATCTAAGTAAAAATAAATTATAACATGTCATCAATTTACTTTGATAAAACAAATGGCTTGAGGTAAATCAATTATAATTCTTGAAACACATATAAAAGTAAAATTATTGAACTTGATCCTACTCCAACATAAAAAATATATGACATTAAAATTGAGAAGAAGAAAAATGTATTCTTAATGAAATGATAAGTTTGAGGGATATTATATTTTTTTCTCAATTTAAATAATATAATCCAAATCAAAATTTACAAAAATATGGGAACTTTCTGTAATTTTCCTGCCACAAGCTACAAAATAAACTCCATTACTTTTTTTGTCTTTTTCATCAAACACTTATCTAAGTGGTTGGAAATAAGGGCATTTGTGAAAATAGCTTAGTCAAATCTATTCAGATGAGCTCTAAAAATTAACATGAATCGGTCAGCACAAGTTGGCTCCATTCAGATGGTTGAATCAAACATGCTGAATTATAAATTACTGACCGAATAAGAGATATAGGTCCATTAAGAGCTCGTTGAGAACAATGAAACAAGGCCTCACTTTCAGGTGGTGTTTGCAAAAATATTTGAAAAATAATTCCGAGCTTTTTATGACTCAAAATCACTTTTAAAGATTTTACAATGCCAAATTTTTTCTTCTAATTTTCTAAAAATAAGTTGTTTTAAGTTAAAATCTACGAAATACCTTAGACAAATTTCTCTTAAAATAAATTACTAATAATTATTTTTTCATGAAGTTTGCATACACAGTCAAACTTTAAAAAATAAACACTTATTATTAACTTATATCACAATGAACAGCTTCTACTTTTCTAGAAGCTTTTGCTAACACCACACTAATCGAGCAATTAATTTGAAAAATTGGAGCGATAATATTGTTGCTCAATCAGTGAATCCCAATTCTTATCACAAACAGTGCCTAAGTGGCACGTACGATTGTGTGAGTATCGTATTTACGTATTTAGCCCTAACAAGGAGTCTACTTTTATTTCGACACTTTGACCTTTGACTCTGCGTCTGTGTATCTTTATTTGAAAAAACTCGGTACCCTTTTCCCACACAACCACACCACCAATGGAATGTAAATTTTGAAAAACTAAAAGCAATTCCACGTGTGAGTAGGAGAGGGCACCTGCTGTAGCATCGTGGCAACAAATGTTCAGGAATCCAGATCGTGCCACGTGGACGGTGGGATTCAATCGGTCGATGTCTTCAGGCCGAAGAAGAAGCTAAAGTCTTAACCATGGTCAACTCAAACACTCCTCCATTATTGATTTTTATACACCTCTCCTGAAAATCCCCTCTCTCTCTCTCTCTATAAATATATATAAAATAGAATTTTATATATAAATGGAAGCGCCGCCGTCGTGTATGAGCATGGGCTAGCTTTGAAAAGCGTGAGTTCGAGTTTCAACGGTCACTTGTTTTCTGAGCTGAGTTGAAGATTACGTGAAAAAATTTCAGCTTTTTTTAATTTTTAATTTAATTTTTATTTTTGATAATTAAACAATGGTGAAAATGGAGAATTCATCACTGCTTGGTGATGAACCCACAAGGAAGAAGCGAAATCTTCCAGGAATGCCTGGTAATTAATTCATATTAATTAATTCTCTTCGTATTAACTTTTTTTAATTATTTGATAATTAATTAGATAACTAGTTAATTAATTTCTGCATCGTCTTCTTCAATTCAATTGAAATTAGATCCAGATGCAGAAGTGATTGCGCTATCTCCGAAATCGCTACTTGCAACAAACAGATTCGTGTGCGAGATCTGCGGCAAAGGGTTCCAGCGTGACCAGAATCTGCAGCTCCATAAGCGCGGCCACAACTTGCCGTGGAAACTCCGGCGGCAGGACACCGGCGGCGGCGATGGGGTGACGGCGAGGAAGCGGGTTTACGTCTGCCCCGAATCCACTTGCCTCCACCACGACCCGGCGAGGGCTTTGGGAGATCTCACCGGAATTAAGAAGCATTTCTGCCGGAAACACGGCGAGAAGAAGTTCGACTGCGAGCGGTGCCCGAAGAGATACGCCGTCCGCTCCGATTGCAAGGCCCACATGAAAACGTGTGGGACTCGCGACTATCGTTGCGATTGCGGTACTTTATTTTCCAGGTGAATTTTACTGACCGATGCCGATATTGATACCGATATTGATACCGATGCCGATATTGATACTGATACCGATATTATTGATACTGCTATTGATACTATTGATACTGATCATTAAATTGAATATAATGGCGTTGTTAATTAATTAATTTGTCGTCGTGAAATAAATATAGGAGGGATAGTTTCGTCACCCATCGGGCGTTTTGCGATGCGTTAGCTCGGGAGAGTACGAATATCGGTTCTAAAACTCCGGTGCCGCCGCCACCGCTTACTCCGACTACAAGTGTGTTGTCTCCGGTGCTGTCGTCTGTTCAAAGTTCAGGTGAAACGTCGATTTTGATCGTCTTTTTCTTTTTGTCGGCAAGATCGAAGAAGTGCGATATAAAGGCGTGTATGATTGCATTTGCTTTTACTGATCATAAGCTTTTGCTTTTTTTTAAGTTCAAGTAATTGAATAATGGGATTTTTAAAAAGCTGCTTTCTAGTTCAAAAAGCTGGTCCCGTTTCTTGATTGTGATTTCTTTTCTCCATACCAGTTGAATTGCCGGAGAATCCGACGACTTCCCACTTCCAACCACCACCGGAAATCGCGGCTGTACCAGCTTCCACCGCCACTCCAAGCACCTCTTCCAATACATCTAGTGGCCGCGTCATCCCATACAGCAGCAGAGTTTTCGCTAGTATATACAATGCATCAACCTCCGCCGAGCAACCGCCGGCGTTGTACTCCGGCCATCTACCTCCCTCCGATCACATTCCGGCCATCGACCCCATATCACTCTCGTTATCGTCCTCTCTGTACGGATCACAACCGTTATTCTCGTCGTCCCAATCGCAAAATAATCCGGCGCTGTCCGCAACAGCATTGCTCCAGAAAGCAGCGGAGATGGGCGCAACTTCCTCCAACAGCGCCTCGTTCCTCCGTGGTATGTGGTTAGCCGCCCCGCCGCCGCCGTGTCAAGATAATATCTCAACCATGGCTCCGACAACGTTTTCATGCACCCCACCGAACATTAAAAATTTCGTCAAACTAGAAGACGATAATTTAGTAGTGTTCGGTAATAATGAGCCCACCACCGTTGATTTTCTTGGACTCGGTATAGGAGACGCCGGTGAAGCCTCCTCCGGCGGGTTTTCCGCCTTCTTGAGCTCAATCGGCGGTGGACTTGACATGAATCCCGGCTCTGCAGGTAGTAAACTATAATAGGTGCTTCTTGTTATGGAATTAATTAGAGTTGCATTATTATATTTAAAGTTGGTGGGCCCCTCATAGTATGATTAATACTAGTAAATCTTAACTAGTATTTTTCAGAGATAATCGTATAGTATAAAATATTTATATGTTTGTTCTATTTTATTATACTTTTATGTAATATTGTAAAACATATATATATTTTTTTAATATAGAGTGATTGTATAGAAGGCTCGAAATTCAAAATTATATGGAAGGCGACTAAATTCGACAAAGTCAAATAAATAAGGCGGTGCGGCAGCCTATTAGAGCATCTGCAAGAGATATGTTTTAAAATTTACTATATTTTTTTAAATTATATTAATATTTTTGTTACTAATTCAAGCAAAAGATTGATTGTTTATATTTTAATAAAACCAGATATTTCTCTTTTTTAAAAAAAAAAAAATCACCAAACTTTTAATAAATCACATTTGTCACACCAATTCACTCCGACAATATTATATATATTTAAACATAGTTATTCTTCAAAAGTAATTTTTGCATTTCTTTTTGGCTTCTCAAATTTAGCAAGCCAAATTTAAAATTTAGCTCATGTTCTAAAATTTAACATAGCTGTTGGAGCATGTTTTTTGTCCAAATTTTGATAAATGTTGTACATTTTAACATATAGCACATCTCTTGGAGATGCTCTTAGATGTTACACCTGGTGTAATAGTTTTGAACTATCGATCTATGTAAATAATAACCCACTAAGTAAATCAATAATTTAAAATTATCCGATATATTTCACCGGGTGTAGCATTTAAAAAACACGCTGCGTGATGCTTTTGGCCTTTGACTGGATTTTTGTCGGTAAGTGCATGGCGTACGGCCAGTTGAAAACTTTGATTTCCCACCATTTCAATATGAATAATTTTCAATTTTGGAATAATTTCAATTCCTCAAATTCAGATTTTTTTTATTTTATAAAATATTTTGGGACAAATTCGAAATTTGTTGTCATTATTGCCAAAGAAAAAAATAAAAATAAATAAATCCCGAAGTGTTAATTTTGATTAGATACGTCCTATTCTATCCAATCCGCAGTTCCTGCAATATTTATGACTAACATACATTTAATTACTCCGATTAATTTATGTTGAAGACATCATTTTAAGTTTGAAGGATCCCTTCCATAATTTCGTTTCAGTTCTCTTTTAACTCTATCCCTCTCGTTCAATTTTACGAGATCATAAACTTGGTGAAATACAAAATGCGATTTTAAACCATAGTTATTATCCATTAACTACAAACATATGAATACGTGTGTACCATATATAGAACATTAGTGTAAAACTACATAGCATATTTCACCCGTTCTACAGAACCCCCATTTTCCACTAATTTAAGAAATTAAATATTTTACTAACTAAAAAAAATTAGTTAATTAATCCAATTTGGTCAGTAACGCAACTACGCAACTACATAAGTCGTAATTCATAACAAACATTCTGGGGATGTTTGGTTATGTTTCCAAAATGAATTTCTAGTTTTCAAAATTTCTGATGGAAAAAGTAGATTATTGGTTTTTGTGTAGAAAATGGGAATATGTTTGGATGAAGGTGTATTTTTAGTTTTATGTAGGTGTAGAAATGAGAATATGTTTGGTTGTGGTGAATTTTCTCTACGAAAGTACGTGCAAAAGTAGAATATAATGATTGATGATGATGATAGTGATGATGATGATGATTATTAGTATTATTATTTATTAGTATTATTATTTATTAGTAGAATTAGTATTATTAGAATTATTATTTATTAGTATTATTATTACTATTACCATTATTATTATTATTACTACTTCTACAATGAATATTATTTTTAATAACAATAACAATATTATTATTATTATTATTATTATTATTATTATTATTATTATTATTATTATTAGGGTAAATTACAAA